GTCGAGGGGAGAATGGAGTTTTGCAGGGAGTGTGGGTGGGTCAAGGAACTCATCTTGGATGTTTTTTGGTCCCTTCACTTCATGATGTAGATTGAAAATGGGTGAAAGGAACACTGTCCTACCTACGGGGCCTTTAACCTCCTAATTCATTACTTCTTACCAACTCAGCACAACCTCTCAGGACTATAGGCTGCTTTTAGGACACTGTTTCTCAAGACGTGATTCCTGGGGGTGGAGCGGGTAGGGTGGTGCTTATTAAAATTGCAGATTCCTGAGCCCACCCAAGACCTATTGCATGAGGATCTCTGGAGGGAGGTCCCAGGAATCTTCTGTTGTAAAACCAGCAATGGAGATGATTCTGAGGTTCACTAAAGCCTGAGAACCACAGCCTTGGGAGGTTACAGCAGATGAACTAACCCAGCTTTTACTCCTCCTTTGTAGTCAGGTAGCAGGCTGGCTCAGATAAGAATCCCTAGAGGAATATTTATCACTATACCAGGAATGTTCCTCTCTGAGCAGGTGAGTGAAGATGAAGAGTAGAGTTATTCCTTGCCTTTTCTTTCACTGGGCAGGAAGCCCATTAATTGTGTCAGTTCTGTTCTGTAGAGCATCATTTTTAGACAAGAACTCAGAACGGTATCTCAATCGTGTAGTATCTTATTTTGAAAAGTGTTCTCCTCTTGGGATTGTTCATTTCTTACAGTTGGGATGGGGACCTTTCTCTCCTCTTCCTGCCCAGGGCAGACAAAGGGCACAGGGCTGGGATATGTCAGGTCCAGCTCAGGCACATATGTGTGCCCACCACTCACCTTTTACTGCCTATCAGTCCCATTTCTGTTCACCGTCTCCCAACCCATGCTGCTTGGTGGTGTATTCCATGGTGATTTCTTCCTCCTTGCTGAACTCAAAACTTTCAGGGTATAAAGGCAGTACATTCATAAGAACATTGTGACCTTGTTGACTTCCTAGTGTATCCATTTCTCAGAAGGTGGCTGGAAGATGCACATGTTCTGGAAGAATTAGAAAGTGAGGAGTGAGAGTGGGATGGGCATGAACCCAATGAGAGGAAGATGCATGTCTTCAGCATGGCAGACTCACCTGCTGGGCTTGAGAGGCCAAGGGGATGCCTGGGCCATTATTACTAAAGCAATCAAAAATAGATGAATAAAATTAAAACTCTTGATAGGATATAAAGGGAAAGATGGTGCAAAGAACATAATGTTCCTTTGTGGAGGAAGATCTCGACTTCGGCTCTGAGGGGAGAGAGGGGAGAAGGTTTCAGAGGCAGGCTGGAGTGTGACTACTGGCTCTAGCATCTTTGGCAGTGCAGGGTACTTGGGGTAGGGGTGGAAAGGAGAGCCCTTACCCTGCTACCCCATGTGGCCTGGCAAGCAAAGGAAGAGTTTTTAATGGAGCCGCTGGATTGCAAATGTGTCACTAAGCCCTCTTCCTCCTCAGGACCCCTATAATTTAAGATCCCGTCCCCTGCGCGTTAGCCAAAAAAAAAGCAACAAAGAAAAAGAAGAGAGGTAAGTGGAAAGCAACGTTAGAGGAATAAGACAGGTGCCCTCGGGGCTTTCATGAGCTCATTCTTAGGTCAGTATCTCAGAGCAGCGGGACCTGTTTTCCTTCCCCTAGGGACTGGGGCTGGGGCCCACAGGACAGCAACTTTGCCCTCAGGAAGCTTCTTACTTGGTGTGTCCACCCTTGATTCTGTCTTGTGGATCTCCATCCTCTCTTTTTGCCTGCTGCTCTGTAGAACCTGCTCCTATGGACACAGACTGAGTGACAATGATGGTGTCCAAGAGGTGCACTTGAAAGGGCAAAGTTTACAAGTCAAGTTTTATCAGAACACAGTCAAACATTCATTTACATATTGTCTGGTTGCTTTCAGGCTACAACAGCAGCATCTGAGTATTTGCAACGAAGATTGCATAGCCTGCGAAGTCTAAAATATTTACTATCTGGTCCTTTACCAAAGTTTGCCTGTCCCTCTAGATCTAGAGATTTCTCACTGGCTTTAAGTGCTTAGCCCTGAAGTGACGTGCATACTCCACTCACAATCACTGGGCAGCACGGTCACTTGACCCTGCTCAACCCTAGGGGGCCGGAAGTGCATCCTATTATGTGCCCAGGAAGGGGATAACCAGACTCTTGGGCCAACAGTACCAATGACCACCACAGCAATCTACTATGTGTTGAACTCAGTACTAGGGGCTGGATATAGAAAGATAAGACAAAATCCCTGATCTCAAGGAACTCAAGGAATGCCAGAATTGGGGGGTTGGGGGAAATCTAAGTATAGAGTAGATTCAAATGTCCTTCCCTGGAAGATGTAGACTCTGTCTTGTCTAAATTGCCTGAGATGAAAGATGTTTTCTCAGCTTGATGATAGCCAGACCTGGGGACTGGCCAGCTTGGCAGGCAGTGGGAGTGACAGATTCCCCTGATGAACATTTATATCAATAATAGAAGGGTTGTTTAACAGGAATTCTTAAAGGAAAGATGAGATAATTTCATGTTTTGATATTTGTAAAATTGATTCAGTTGAAGCGGGAGCGCTGTGGTGCATATTATTGCTGCTGTAATTTTGGCAAAGATGTGATTCAACTTGGCAGAGCGTCTGGGAAGGGGAAATCCAGGAAGGAGGGAGAGGGTGGGCCAGGAAGCGTAGACAAGGAGCCAGGTCCTGGTGGCCTGGTGGGAGCTGGGAGGGTGGCCCAGGAGCCTCTGCCATAGGGCGACATGAGGAAGAGGAGGCTGCAGGCCGCAGAACCTGAGACTGCTTGGGTTTCTGGCGGTGCTGAAGCTTGCGGAGCGAGTGGGAGCAGCCTGGGAGGGGTGCGTGCGTGTGTGTGGTGGAGGAGAGACATTTAAACATTGTAGGAATGAAGGATAAATTTAAAATCCATCAAGCAGAGTTGAGACAGAATGACAACGTGAGGAACATGAATCACTCTTTCTAGGGACCCACCCAACTGCGTGCAGGATTGGAAATGATTTTCTCCTTCTCTCCTCCCTACCAAGCTTACCCTGGACCCTTTACCTCCCCTGGCCCTGTCCTCTTGACCCAGCTTGGTGACTGAGTATCTAGCGCCGACCAGCACATTCCCAGGGCCTCCAGCCCAGTATTCCCAAGATGTTTGCTGGTAGGGCTGGGACGACCAGCCCAGGTGCTAGAAATGCAGGAGGAGACAAATAAAGAAGTTATCTCCCACCCGCTCTCCAGGGAGGTCAGCGTCTATTTAATGTTCGCATCAGGCTTGATCACCTACGCGCCAAGATCATCCTTCCTTTTTTCTTTTCTACCTGCTTCCTTAGTGTAATGAGGAGGGCCTGGAGAGGCATCTAGGGATTCTGCTTCGTGGGGTAGAAGCAGTGTGATCAATACGGTGGAAAAACTATGAGCTAAATTTGAAACCTGAGCCCCCTCCCAGCTCTGACTCTTATTGCTAAGTGTGACCCTGGGCAAGACTGTCTACCTCTTTGGACCTCAGTTCCCTCACCTGTAAAATGATATGGCTCAACCATTAAGATTCCTGCCCATTTTAATATTCTTTGTTTTTGTGACTTGCGATTTGATAGGCAGTCCAGACTGGGGAGGGTGGGGCGGGGTCTGGAGGGCAGCATTCTGGGAAGATGCCTCCCCTGCGGGCCCAGCATAGCCCTCAGTTCGCAGTGGGTGCTCACTAAGCCCTGTACGAGTGATTTGGATGCCAGGGCTCTTCCCAGGGTGTAGAGCAAATGGTACTTCTTGGAGCCGAGGGGGCATGTGTGTGCCACTTGTGTCACTAGGGGCGTGGTTTGGAACATGGATGGGGTGTGGTTTGGAACTAGGGGCGTGGTTTGGAACATGGATGGGAGGAGGCTGGGAATTCAGGTGTTGGGCTCTTGGCTGGGAGGGAGACAGTCGGTAGAGATCTAGAAAAGGTGCTCAGTTCAGGTTCTCTCAAGTCAGGACTGGCCCCCAGACCTCAGACTTGCTATGGGAACTCTTTCTGAATCCTTCAATTTCCCTAAATCCTCTCTGCGTATGCTCTCCCCTTTGCCTGTAATCCTCTCCCTTTCCTCGCCGGGCAAGCTCTGCGTAAACCCAGACTGAGGGTCCCTTCCTACACAAAGCCTTCAAGCGGACTGGGGGGCCCCTCCTGTGAGCTCACATAGCAATCAATCCTAGCACATGGCGTTGTGTGGTCAAATTCACGTTCTTCCTCTTTCTCCCACAAGGAGGATGTGGACTACATCCAGCTCATCTTGGCGTGCCCAGCGGCTGGCACGTGGTAAGCCCTCGGTTAATGTTGATTGAATGAGCGCATCTTTCAGCGGCAAATCCGGCCACATCCTCCTTGGCATGGAAAAGGAGAATGGGCTCGAGGGAGCCCGCCGAGGCACCTGATTCCACACATGCTCCCCAGATCCTGCGCGAATGAGCATAAGGAAAGGTGGAAGGAGCCCATGTACGGGACCCAGTTCTGCCGAACAGCCTGCCTGTGGCAGTCCTGCGGGAGAGGGTGTGAGAGTTAGGGCAGCAGGTGGTGGGTAGGACTTCCCCAGGGGAGTTGGGGAGAGGGTTAGGGGCATTCTTTCACCACAACGGGCCAGGAGAGCCAGGTAGCTGTCGAGATAGGGGCTGAGAAGGACAGCCTTTGGCATTCTCCTCTCCCGATAGCAGCACCCTGAGACATTCATCACAGTTGCATACAGTTATGTCTTTAACGTCTGTCCTCTGCGCTAGACTGAAGTTCATGGGGCAAAAATCAAGTCTGCTTTGTTTGACTGTAGATGCCCAGCACCTGGCACACAGCCTGGTCCACAGTGCATGCTCCTGAGTTCAACGATCATTTATTGAGTTCCTACTGTGTGCCAGTTTCTGGGCCAGGCTGGAAGCCTTGCCCTGGACGACAAAGTCATTAACCTCTTTCTCTTCTCTATCTCCCTCGTGCCCACCCCTCCCCTCCCCGCCCTCCCACCCCTTATCTCTCGCCCACCTCCCCGCGCAGAGCAATGTTCTGTGATGGTGCCCGACATGCGTGGACTGAGCCCCGGCCGCAGGCTGCTGGAGCCCGCCCTCTGCCCGGCTGCGGGCGGGAGCCCTGAGCCCGGGGCCGAGGGCCGCCGCCGCCATCGCCACGTCCTGGCCCTGCCCGAGGAGGAGGCATGGCGGCCCCAGCAGTGCGCCCTGCTCGAGGCCGAAGCCTCGGACGAGGCGGGCATGCTGCCGGCCTCCCCGCGCGCCTCCGCCGCCGGCTTCGACAACTTCTTCCCGGTGCAGGAGGGCGAGGGCCCAGGCTGGGAGGGCGGCTCCAGCCCCTTCCTCCCGGTGAGCCCCGAGGTGATGAAGCGGCGGCGCGGGGGTCTTATCGAGCAGCGCGACATCATCAAGGCCCACGAGGCGCACAAGATGCAGAGCACCCCGCAGGCGCGGCGCAAGGAGTGGGAGTGAGTACCCGGCGGGCGGGATGGGGGAGCACGGCGTCAGCCCGGCTGGTGGCCAAGGAGGAGCCGAGGGGGCGTGGGGACCGGGTCGGTGGTCCCGCGGGAACGGATCTATCGCTGCTCCCGCCAAAGAGGGGCTTGACCCTCCGAGGTAGTTCCCTGAGGTCAGACCCGATTGATCGTCAGACCCGATTGATCTCACTGAGCAGCCCTAGGCTGCACGGAACCTCACTGAGGCTACAGCTGGTTCACTTGGAGCCCGCCCTCCCCATCCCCCCACGAAGTACACCTAGTTTACTGAGAGCCTGGGCAGAAAGCCCTGGGTTCTGATTCACACCCTGAGCTTCCCTGAGAAGAGGAGCTCTATAAACCGTGGAGAATCCACCCAACTGGGAAGCATCTCTCTCGTTTTTCCCTCTGGAATTGCTGCTGTAACCCTCCTCTTTCTGGTGTCATTCTTGAGTGAATGATTACTTTTGGGGACAGGTCTTCAGTGGATAGAAGAGATTGACCAAGATTTCCCCACCCACCCCGCCCCCCACCCCTCCATGACTTTATTTCTGATCTTTTTGTGTAGAGCAAAAGGATCTGTGTTCTGTCCTGGGCTACCTTTACCCTGATTGATGCTTATTGGGGACGGGGATTTTACTCCTAGGAGTCACAAAGTAGAGGAAGATAGTATTTCATTTAATTCTCAGTCACTCCAGATTTACATCCCACCCAGGGACTTTGTCCTTCGGATGCCAGTGTTTATTCTGCATGTTTGCATGTCCTGTGATCTGTATGTCTTCCTCTCTCTTGCCTTAGACTGAGTTGTTAGATGTTAGATTAGCAACAGGTGTTTTTTGACGGTGCCGGTCATGGTGGAATTTACCTACCTGCTTTTGGTGGACATCCTGTATGGTGCAACTGGGGGTAGATTAACTGATCTCTGGTGGTCTTTTCCTGTGGTTGTTATTAGTTCGTTCATTCAGTGACATGTACCAGGCTCCTGGGATTCAGAGAGGAGTTGGGCACTCAGCACTCAACAGGCCTTCTCTCCTGTTAATCATCTTCCAGTGCTATTAGTTTTAAAAACCTTACATAGCTCTCTAAGTGCCAGCAACATTCTAAGCACCTTACCTAACTCATGTTACTTCTCATCATTACTATGAGGCAGGTACGATTATTGTCCACATTTAACCAACGAGAGACACAGGGGAGTTAACTGACTTTCCCAAGGTCACTCTGATAGTTACTGCATTGTTAATGTGGTTTGAGGTTCGTTAGTGATTTGTACCCTGGAAGTCTGGTTCTAGAATCCGTGCTTCTAACTCTGAAGGCACAGTGCCTTTTATTCTAGTTCTCGCAGTACTCCTTATCTCAACCACCCATTGAGATGCCATGGTAAGAGCACTGGCTTGGGGGTTGAGAGACATGGGGCTAATTCCCAGGGTGACCTTATCGGTGGTAAGTCATCTCATCATGGCTTTGAAAAATGAGTAGGAGAAAGTAGATGACCATTTGAATACGGTACAACTCTGATGGTTGGTATTTCTTCGTATTCCGGAAGTCCTATATTTTTATGCACCTCTGTCTTGTCTTAAGAGGATGCTGAACAGCTTGAGGGCAGAGACTGTCTTGCACATTCTTCATGTCACTCAATGCCTGTCATACGACCTAACTCAAGAATTCCTACAACACTCACTGAAAACTTAGCTTCACCACGCCTAGCGATTTGTGAATAACTCTTAGGTCTTTCTCTAAGTTAAACGTTTGCTAGTTGGAGGATGGAGTGACTGTGGGGATGGTGGGAGACTGTGCTTTCATCAGGGCGGGTCCATGAGGAGGGGAGCCAGAGCAGACACACCAATGGCTTGAGGTCATGTCAACCTCTAAGACTAGCGGTAGAGGAGGAGCCCACAAAGGAGGTGAGAAGAAGTGGCTGGAGTGGTAGGAAGAAAACCGGAGGGCACAGGGACAGAGAATCAAAAAGAAGGGTGTGTCAGAAAGAACGCCATCTGTGTTGGATGTTGCTGAAAGGTCAAATAAAATGATGATGGAGAGGAATCACTGGGTTTTGGCAATATGGAGGTGACCTTAATGGGAACAATTTCAGTAGGGTGATGGGGCAAGGTTCCAGATGGAGTGGGTTGCGGAGAAAGTGGGAGTGACGTGGCCACACCCTCCCTGCTCCCAGCACTCACAGCCATCACTGCAGTCTGTTGGGAGATCTCTGTGGTGAATACCACCAAGACCTTTTCCTCACCACAAACTCCCTCCCCACAAGGCTCTGTGCATGCCTTAGTCTGATCCCCTTCCTCCTCTCCCCAAATTCCCAAATTCCCTGATATCGCACTGGCTAGGACTCATGTTCCATCATCAGCAAGAGCCTTCTCTGGACAGTCCCTTCACCTCCTGTTCTAAGTGGAACCTGCCTCTCTCCCAAGAATGCTACTTGACCTGCAGCCGCGTCACGTGATGGCTGTCTTCCCTCCCACACTGCCTTGTACCCTTGAGCCTGAAGGTGGGGTATGTGTCTCCTTGCTTTTCACTGTTGCTTCCAGACCATTATTCCTCATACCTGTCCTGAAACGCCAGTTTGGAGCTCATGGCATCAGACAACACCACCTGCTGTTCCTTCCTGCTGCAGCCATCTACAGACGCCCAGACCACCCTCCTTCATGCCAGGAAGATTTCAGCTTTTGGTTTACTGCCTCTCTCCCCATCTCTTCTCCTGCCGGCAGTTCTTAGTTATTTCCATGTCCACTTAGATAACTCTTCTTGTACCCTGGCCCCTTGGTTCCTTAAGCTCTTCTCCCCGATGATTCTGCTCCACGCTTCCAGCTGAGACCTCATTTCCTCGGCTAGCCTGGACCGTGTCGTAACTGCACTGCTCCACGGTCTCAGTTTCACTCATCCCACTGTCTGACCATCACCTCCTTTCTGTCCAGTGCACTCCCTCTGGTGCTGCATTTCCAAGATTCTTTAATCTCACTGGCCTCCACAAGATGTTGATCCTATTACTTTGTCACTGCCCCCTCCCCAGCCGTATCCTCACTTCCCATCTTATCAAGTTAAACTCCATTGTAAGCACCAGAAATACTTTCCAGAGAAAAATGGTGACATTTCACTTGAGGTCTCCTCCTACTCTCTCAGCTCTTTCTCCTGCCACCTTCTAAGATAGAGCCAGTCAGTAGCCGAGGGTCAGGATGCTGGATGACTCCCAAGTTGCTCAGCCCACTTCATGCTTCACCATCGTGGTGATCACTTCCTTGTTTTCACCCTCAACTTCCTTGCCCCTCTGGTGCTCCATTATACTGGTCTGGCAAAACTCCAGCCCTGCTTAAGTCCCACCTGCCACCCCTTCTTCACCTGCACCTGGGCAGCTGAACATTGCTATAGCAAAACTCACAGCTGTGCTCATTGGTCTGGCTGTAAATTTGTGACCCCTACCTCAGGTCCACCCTTAGTCCTGCCCAGAAATCCCACTACTTTTCCTTTTTCATCCACCCTCACACTCTTTTAGAGATTAGTTCACACACTTTTCCCTTCATTCTCAAACCCCAGCATCTCTTGCCAGCCTGTTCCTAGCTCATGACAATTGCTTTCCTACTTCACTGGGAAAATAGAAGCAGTCAAAGAGGTTTGTACGAGCTCTCACCCGCATTGACCACCTGCTGCATCTGGCCCCTGTTCCAGGCCATTCCTCCTGTTTCTGTGGACCAACCCCTCATCACACTCCATGTGGAGGTCTGGTGCCCACGTAGAGCATGATAAGCCTGTTTGTCTATTCGCTCTATCTCTAAATTTTCTCCTACAATTCCCTCTGGAACCCATTCCAATCAGGCTTTTGTCGCCCTCACTGCAGTGAATCGTCCTTTTTTGCCTTTCCTTTTTTTTCTTTTTAAAAAAAAGGATTTACAAAGGAGCTGGAAAGATAGTGCATAGGGTTTCCATGAAAGAGTCTTCAGAAACCCATTGCATCAGTCCTCTGCTCAGAACCCTCTAGTGGCGCTCACCCCACAGAACAAACCCCAGTCCTTAGCATCGTCTACAAGGCTCTGCGTGACCTCCCTCCTCGACTTTGACCTTGACTTCTCCCCTGCAAAGATGCACAGGCGTCTTCGACTTCATCTCTGTATCTTTCCCCCACTCATCTGCTCCAGCTCTGCTGGCCTCAGGCCATTTCTTGAACCCACCTCACCGCAGGACCCTCGCCTTTGCTGTTCCCTCTGCCTGGAGTGCTCTTCCCCTCAGAGCACTCACCCCCGACTTCACTGAAGCTCCTGCTCAGAGAGACCTTCCTGACCCCTCTCTGTTGAGGTCTCTTTATTGTGCTTTATTTTTCATCATAGCCTTACTATCATTTTCCCAACACACACATACGTGCACATACAAGCACATAGAGATACATGCACACACACACACAGACGCAGACACACACACACGTATTTTGTGTGTGTACATTTGTCTCCCTGCACTGAAATGTAAGCTTCTTGAAAGCAGGGACTTTGCTTATTTTCAGTGTATAGAATAACGTCCCATATGTAGTTGACTCGCAATAACTGTTTGTTGAATGAATGATGAAATAAACGCACTGAGGGGAATTGATACCTATTCCAATCAGCTAGCTTCCAGGGAAAGAGGTAACTGAGTTCTCTGGGTCAGCTGTGCAGTTGTGCAGGTTGCTGACTGCACAAGGCCCTCCAGTTGAACAATCAGCAGAGGAAGTGGGGAGTCTG